AAAACCAAACAGCATGACCACAGTCAAGCCCAGCACAACAACTCCAATCGCAGCAGCAATGGCAACGATGGTGTCTGGGGAGATCATAGTATCCGTTAAATGGAATTTTTCAATCTCAAGTTAAAATGAAACATGAAACTCAGAACGGGCTTCTCTAGTTGCAGCAAAACAAAACGTCATGGATCAAAATAAAGTCCTAGGCAAACATCCCCCCCCAACTAAAACTGCAAAAAACCACAGGAGCCCCCAAAACATGGACATTTTTAGTATCTATTTGTATCAACATTCAGAGCTCTTCAAAATTTGTTGAAAAATTTCCAACTAGCTGTAAGTAGAATGTGTATGTGTCCTGGCACTTATGTTCTCAATTTCATTAATGTAACTGCTAATTTAAATTGTAATCAGATGCTGCTAGAGCCTCTTGAAATGTGTACACTATTTCACACCTCTGAAGCTGTGTGACTTCCCTCTGTCTTTCCCTCGATTCTGTAACGAAATGAAAGAAGCTTGGATTAATCTGTATTTTCCAACAAATAACAAGATAGAAGGAATGAAAAAAAAGGAAGACAACTTGGAAAAATTAATGTGTTGCTCTTGCCACAGAGTGTCACTCTTACTCCGTATATGTTTTAGTTAGTGAAACGAGAAATCTGTCTTTACTGGTCTAGCTTCTGCATGTTTCATTTAAATAATCTGCAGTTTTGCTACTAGGGCATAAAATAGAACATATGTGCCCATCATTCTGATATGTTGGGAACATAGACAGTGTGATGACTCCCTAACTTTTTACCTATCTGGGTGGTTCAATAGGAAAAAATAATTTTTAATGCAGAGTTGGGGCATGCCATATATCATTTCAAAGTCTGTGATCTCAAAGTTTCAAAGGAATGGTTGATTTTTCCAGAACAATTAGTGAGTAACCACCTGGCATGGACATCAGACCAGCAACCCAGTTTCTTGCTTACACACCTCAGCCAGACCATGTATTTCTGAGCAAATGTGTAAATGATGGCAAACAATGCTTAGCTTTGGGTTTTCTTCCTTCAGACTTTTCTGTTCAAGAAAAGACTTTCCAATTGGAATAGTGCATGGGTACTCTTAAGTGCATATCCAAGTAAGCATCATATTGAACTTGCATCTGAGACCCTGATTAGGAAATTAAGAGAGAACAGGAATCAGTGACATGACTATAAATGTAGAGGTATAGGACAGTGGCTGGATTTTTTTGTCTGCTTGCATGGTAGGATAGCCAAGGAGATACTAAAAAAGTCCTTAAAAATATTTTGAACTTGTCTGCAGCTGAATGACTACACAAGAATATGAGTTTTACATGTGTAGAGTGTCAGTCCTGTAAATGGATCATATTCATATGCTTACAACATTTTTTTTTCCTCAGTGACATTTCTTGACTTCTCTAAAAACAAAACAAAACAAAAACACCTCTAATGAGGTCTGTACTTAAAATTAGATTAGTTTTTTTTTTTTTTTCTTTTTCAGTACCAGAGGCAGTTGATTCCATTAAGACAGTAGTTTTGTCTGACACCACCATCAACATATCTTGGAGTGAACCTCTGAAGCCAAATGGACCTCTAGAATCCATCCGCTATCAGATCTCTGTCAATTTATTACCCCCTGTCCCAGCGACACCCTTGCGGAAAAGTGAATTTCCAAATGGGGTGCTTGCCTGGTCTGTCAGTGGGCTTCAGTCTGGAACAAACAATTTATTCAAGGTATAATTACAAGCAGTTTTACCTGTTTGTTCACTAACCTGCAAATCTTTAGGCTGCTCTTCCGTAAAGCTGTATGTGTGCTTTGAAAATATGAGTTCCAAACTTGGCAGACTTCTCTCAGTCTTTTCATCTTAAGGAAAATTAAATGTCACAGTTTATTCCTACATGGGTTGTTCAGATTAAATCCTTAGAACTGAGATCTTTCCTATTTGGGGAGCACATCACAGATCTCAACAGTAAATAGGAGTTTCTGCTGCAATCCTGCTGTTATTGCCCTGATAGCTGACACAACATGCTAAGAGAGGGTCAGATGATGGGTATCCTCTGCTTTCAAAGGAGGATGCCTGGAACTGTGACCTGCTTGTGAAGGTCTTAATTTGATTTTGTGCTTTTGTTAATGATTTGGATGGTATAACGAGGAATACAGATAAATACGCACATACCTAGATACCTATGTGTGTGTATGTAAGTATGCATACCCAAACATAGGTCATATTTGATTGTGGCTTAGTGGAAGGCAGTGTGCTAAGGCACCTCCTCACCTTGTGTTTTTGTGATTCTAAAACACTGCCTAGCATGTGATGTGACATCTCGTGCCTGTGTAAGAGCATGTGGCATTTAAGAAAGGTCAAGAAAAAGAAGATTCTTGGTAAAAGATGAAACAAGAAACTAAGAAGAGTCTCTGAGGGAGGGGACTCTAGGTTATGAACTTCCAGCCTGAAGATGTGTAACGCTGAAGCTGTCAGGCTCCAAATCTTTTTACACCTCTGTGTATATTGTCTGAAAATTGTCTTATTTGAAATCAGTTAGTCTTCCAAACTCCTGGAGTTGCTAAAGCCACCTTTCCAACTGGTCTGGTACCATACAGTTAATCTATTTCCTTACTAGGTTCTTGCTTTTCATCCCGATGAGAACTGGTTTTCTGAAAGTGTCCCTGTTACTGCAAAAACTTTTGAGACTCCACCTGCACCTGTCAACATAGTTCCCAGAAATACAAGTTTCCAGCTAGAATGGAGAGCTCCTCTGCATGTCAATGAAACCAGCTTCTGGTTTGAGCTGCATAAGGTAAAAATACCCCATATTTTTTTTCCAGATCAGAGCAAATTTAACCCACTCTGTCCTGGTGAGGAGGATGGGATGGCAGGATATATATGAAGAATCTCAGTGGATAATTTGGGCATGGTGACGTCAGTCTTAGTGGCTCAGAAGAGGCGAGATGGAGGCAGCGTTTGCCAGGAACAAGGAGGAGTGCAGCTGTAGCATTTAATACTCCATAGTGCTAAAGGACATCCTGGATGACCCCACCAGAATTCCTCCTAGATCTCCTGTTTCAGTAGAGTCTCCTCCCTCTTTCCTCACTGCCCTCCCCCAACCTGGCTTGTAGCTACAAATCCTATGTCTGCTCTGCACAAGAAAGAGAAGAAAAGGGTTTTCAGCATTAAATGTTAGCTACAACCTAGTATCTGAATTTTATTTTCCTATGATAGAGGTTAGGAGAAAATGCTGGAGAGAAAAACAGGTCTGGTAGTGCAGACTGTAGAAGTAAGCGCTGCAGTGACAGCAGCATGGATGGAAGCTTCAGATTTTAATGTCTGGACCACTGAACACAGAAAATGTCATGTGCTAAACTGGATCACGTAGATTCCTTAATATAGACAGTCGGATTCATTAGGCCTACATCAAACTGCCCTAAAACAAATATAGCACAATTCCACTAAATCTCCTCCTTTCAATTGCATGATGGCAAGCTGAACTCATGGGCATGTCACGGTGATCCAGAAATACAAGCTGCACAGACATAAGCAAGGGGAAGGCTCCTTTTGGCTGTGCAAAGAGGGCACTTAATCTGTTGTCCTTTGTCACTGTCAAGACTTGTAGGTCTCCTGAAAGCAAATTAAAAAACCTAGGTTTTGTGTCCTTGGTCTCTAAGAGCACAAAGTCCCGTGGTTGAAACAGCGTGTGTGTAATCTCTCCTCTATTATTAAAAGGTGGCAAAGTAGTTAATCTACCCATACTTTCAGCAGAGCAAAAAAGTTCACCACAACGATATTTTATTTTTCTAGTGGCAAACAAAAAGTGACTGGTTTTCTCCTGCAAGCACTACGTGCATCACAGATCTTGTTTACACATGCAACCTCACAGGAACTCTTCCTTCAACCAACTACTTTGTAAGAGTAATAGTAGTTTATATTACAGGAGCGAAAAGCACTTCCTCTTCAACAAGTTTTAAAACTACAGGTAAGCACTTAATGTAGGGTAACAAGATTTTAAGACTATTTTCAGGACGTGAATATTCAAACACAATATTTTGTAAAATTTAGTAGTTAATTTTCTTATACTAGAAGCCAATAGTTGTGTGTGTTTGAAAAATAAATAACACAATACCATATCTACAAAAGTAATGGGGGAAAGAAATGAGGTTCACTTCCAAGTGAAGCAGAGGAAAAGAGTGAGGGAAAATGAAATGAAATGCCTATACACCTGTGAACTGGTGAAAGGCTGCATGTGAATGAACATTTTGGAATTTGTCCATCACAAAGAGAAGGCCAAAGATTCATGCTCCACAGGGATTATTGATGTAGATCCTCCATCTTTTGTGTGCCAAAACACCCTTGTGCACATCTAAATTTTTCTCTGTGCCCATTGGCCCTTTGTCTTGCTGTAAACACATTTTAAGTGCTCTGTTTCTTCCCCTGTTTGGCCTAAGCTGGTGTTCCCAGTAAGCCAGGAGTTCCAAAAAGAGCAGAAGACACTGAAAACTCTGTACAGTGGGAAAAGGCTGATGACAATGGAAGCAACGTGACCTACTACATCTTAGAAAGCAGGTAACCTATGTGTGCAGGTGCTCTTCCCATAGGGAGCAGCCCAGAAGAAATCCAGGTGTAGAAGGGCTTTCAGTTTGACTCTGATGGGAAGAGTGAAATATCTATAAAGCAAATGGCCTTTCTCATCTTATCTCTTTCTTGGGTAAACTAGGTAGCCACCATTTCCAGAAATTCCTGGAAAACTTAGAAGAAAATATACACTGACAATATTTCCAGACCAACCCTGAAATACAGGGATATATTTAGATATTTGTTGGTGAATTAGAAGAAGATTTGGAGATATTTTCAAATTACAGATTTCAAGCATGTAGTATGTATTTTTGGCTAAAATATATGTAGAAATATCTTAGTGTTCAGAGGACTCATGAAAAGGTGTTACAATGTTTCCAGGAAAAATCATAAGGTATTCTCACCGACATGGGATGACTAAATAAATTTTAAAGTACTCTTTCATCAAACACAGATTGCCTAGACTATACATGTCACACTTGTTAGGCATCTATAGAGTGCCAATTCACACTTATTCCACTGGCATTGGAAGGGCTGAACGGACAGGGCAGAGTACATTGCTGTAGGCAGTGACTTTGAAACTTCTCGTTTTTTGACCACAACTCTGGAGGGGTCTGTTTAAGGCGGTCAATGCAAGGCTGAAATAATGCATTATGTAAAAATGAGGAGACTCCATCTTCTAAGATATTGCTGTGACATTGTTTGAAATCAGGACTGATGGAGGGAAGCGATTTTTTAAACTCGGCTAGTATTTCTTTTTCCTCAGTTAACTCTGTGCTTATGAAAGCTAAGGACTGAGCGCTGTGGAGCTGGGCATACTTTACCTATATAAGTTTTCACCCAGACATATTTTCCTGGTGCTGTAAGCTTCCTCCATACAGTTCTGTGAGCATACAGCAGCACTGACCTGCATGCTATGAGAGTACAATAATTCCGATATGCCAAGAGCCCGTTTGTACCTGGCTTGCTGTGGACGGGTAAAGAAAGGACAGTCCCTTGGCCTGTGTCAGGGCTGTGCAGTAGCTGCTGTGTTCTCCAGGCTCCAGCTTCTTATTCATCTCTGGAGTCATAATGCATCACTGAGGTGTTTCATCTTTTTAGTGAAATAAGCTTTTATCTTGCGGTTTGAATGTGCACATGCTGATGTTTTTGACTGAATTTTGCTTTGATCTTTATGGTCCTTTTACACCAGGTAGAAAAATGTTAGATCAGTTGCCTAGCATTCTAGAAAATATTTGTATAGCCCTTTGAAATAACCCTTCTTTTTCATACAGCTCTGATAGGGGCATGTACACACCAAGGACATGAACATATAGTTTTCCCATGTCTTTCTGGTCTAGAAGTGTTTTTTTCTGCATTAAAGTGTGTTGGGAGAATGATTGACATGCTCATGAAGGTCATTTTACATGAAATATTACAGTCTTGTGTGACATGAAATGGTATTTCGGATATGTCCTTTCAAGTTTAAATACATGGTCTTCTTTTGGTTGGTGAATAATCAGCTCTGAATTTATTGTGAGCAATCAATCTCAGTCCAATGGGGAAAGGAAGAAATATACCCAGCAGTCAGCAGATACTGTGGGTAACTGGCGAGCTAAAGAATTGTGTCTTCACTGCCAATGACTTGCTTCCTGTTTAGCTTGTGAAACCTGATGCACAAGAGCTGCTGAATTACTCTGGGCTGCAGGAAAGCAAATACCTCTAACAGGACACAAAAAAAAAATGTTTATTTTTTTTTCCCCAAATAAGAAGGTTTTGAAATCTTGGCTGCGAGGTGTACGCTGAAACAGGTTAAGGAGTGCTGGAGCTTTTTATGTCTGAAATGTTCTAGCATTTCATTTCCAATGCCAAGCTAAAGATCTGTGATTCCTAGCATCGCTGAAATGGCACGGTACAATTTTCTGCTCTGTAGCCAAAATCCCACGGCCAGATTGAGCTTTCATGCAGGCAGAGAGATGTTGTGAAGGCCATGGAACTGAAGTGAAGAATGGGGGGGGGAAGCAGTAAACTGCCCTCACTGCATTAATGACATACCTGTGCTACTGTGCTGTGCCGGTTGCAGGAAGCAGTCCGACACCACCAGCAAAGCGAAGTCCTTGTGGGAGGTGGTTTACAACGGCTCCTGTGCCAGTATTTGCACATGGAAGGCCAAGAACTTAGAAGGAACTTTCCAGTTCAGAGCAGCAGCTGCAAATGTACTGGGACTTGGTGAATACAGTGACACAAGCAAGGATATAATTTTGGGTGAAGGTATGTCCTGCACTTTCTTACTCTGTTAATCGAGTTTTTTATTCAGAATAGTCATACCAATTTATGAAGAGGGACCCACTATTTTAATAATGATGTTGGTGCACAGGTAAAGTAATGTGTCTAAGAGGTAATAATAAATGGTGACATTTATATGGTGACCCCAGCTGCCAGTGCTCATCCAGGCTCTTTTGCAAGAACAATAGGCCTGAAATTTGCTTCCGCTCATTTATACTGGTTTGTCTCTGTGGCCCTGCACTCTGCATTATGGTATGATTCTTGAAATAAAGGCAAGCTCCCACACTGGATAAGGATGTGGGGATTACTTCTTGCCTTCAGCCATAATGTTAGACCTACACTCTGTGGGTGATTTTGAAAATCCCACCTTAAGTGATCAAACAATTCAGCATTTTCTCTTTCTGTGCAGGTAGTAGGTCATCACCACAGGAATGGCCGAGAGCTGGGACAGGAGGATTAGTCTGACCAAACGTAGACATCTGCATACAGCCTATAAGACAGCTTTTTGCAGAGGAAGACATTTATACAGCAGGCAGCTCAAGGGTTCTCTCAGGGTTGCTCAGCTCCATGGGACTGATAGCATTTGTATACATAGTCATTAACCAATTTTCCTCTTCTATTTAACAGATACTATAATCTCCCCAGACACCATCATTGTCATTGCTGCTGTGATTGGAGTTGTTGTGCTGAGCTTGACTGTGGTCATGCTGTTTGGTTTTGGTATGTGGCTGAGTTTTTTGCATATCCTTGGCTTGCCAGGCCTCAGTAAAAGGCAGTTCAGATGGTGGGAGATGATTGGCCTCCAGGTTTAGGGAAATGCTGAGCCACCTCCAGGGTGGGAGCTGGCAGGAATTTGTATATTTTCATCCTTTGAGGCCCTAGTGATGACCGGTTATGTTTTCAGTATCAAGGACAGGATACCAATTCACTCCATCCTCAGGCATTTCTTGCTGTTGATTCCCTGCTGGGAGAGCACAGAAATGCTGTAGGGACTCTGATGTTCCTGTGCATCCTTATGAAAACTTGTACCTTATGATTCTCAAGTTGGATACTGCATTTATTCACCAAAGGGTCCCATTTTTTTCCTCTTAAGCTTTGTCCCTGAAGAAAGGAGGTAGAGATTACCCTGAGATGTAGATGTCCACATGTGATGGTCCTGTCTTCTCACTCCTCATCCTCTCCCTGGGATACAGCAGCAGCCCTTCAGGCTTGGGTCTCGCCACATACAGAAGTAGATGCTTAACTGATTTCTCAGCTCAAGGAGCAGTTGTCTGTGTTTTGTGGGAAAAAGATGGTGGCCAGACGGAAACATCTTGCTGACCTGAGCTGCTGGAGGGCTATGTTGAACACAATAACAAGAAACCTGTAGCCTTTCAGCCCAATCACACGCTGGGATGCTCTCAGAGTGAAATATCCAATGGTCTGCTTTTCTGTTCCAGTATGGTGCCAAAGATGGAAATCCAGAAAACAGGCCTTGCCTGGACAGATAGTGTTTATCAAGGAAGATAAAGAATTAGCTCAACTCAGGGGGACGGCTGAGCTAGTGGGACTAGCCAATGCCTGTTATGCTATAAGGTATGTCCTTGAAGCAAATGTATTTTCAGGACAAAAAGATCCTAGAGGGCTTTCCTGGTCTGGTTTTCATCAGTGCACTCATCCCTGACACCTCAAGGTAGAGTTAAGGGCTGCATCTGCCCTGCGGGGCAGGCCTGCTCTGAAATACGTCCGGCCATCTTGGCACGCTGGCCTGGATTGCCCCTAGCCCACCTCGCACGCCTACATTGGCGAGAAATGCAAGTGCACGGAGAAGGAAGAAGACCTGATGTTTTCCAATAGCTTCCAAAACATCCAGGCTTCACCTGAGCTCCCCTTAAATATACCTGATGAGAAAAATACTACCAGATCCATTTGAGGAAGAATTTTAATAACATTTCAAATAGTCTTAGGTATGAGTAAGTGACTAGTATTGCTGTTTTGTAGCACTCTTCCTTCTCAAGCAGAGATTGAATCATTGCCAGCTTTCCCTCGGGACAAACTGAACTTACACAAACTGTTAGGAAGCGGAGCATTTGGAGAGGTGTATGAAGGGACTGCAGTAGACATCCTGGCAGATGGAAGTGGAGAATCCAAAGTAGCAGTCAAGGTAATCACAGCTGTGTATTTCTCTGGCAACAGAATGGGATGGGTGGAAAGATTTGGCTCAGCGATTATACCACAGAAATAGGTGTTGATAGATTTGGATATTTCCTTGCAGTATTTCTTGCAAGACACTTAAAGCTGAGCCTATCCTTGCAATGATTGCTGGGAAATAATATGTATATAAAGCTGTGTCTATGTCTGATTGCTACGTGATAATGGTGGTGGTGACCTAAGTGTTATTACACTTTTACTTTCTGTTGAGTAGACTTTGAAGAAGGGTGCGACAGACCATGAGAAGAGTGAATTCTTGAAGGAGGCACACTTCATGAGGTAGGGACAGTTTTGCCACTGGGCACCCTTTGAAGCCACTGTCATGTAAGGGCGGTGGCCTTCCAAAGGAATGAAAGCAAAACTTTCCTTTAAACAAATTACTGTGGCATTTTTGGGGTGTTCTCCTCTTTCTGCTAAAAAATTAAATCACTACTGATGAATCTTATGAAAATACAGTTATAAAACTGATTAGCAAAATTTAGGATACAGACTGCAAGTTCAGTATGTTCATATCATGGTTTTATTGGGGTTTGAACCGATGTATTTCAGTCTATTTGCTCCCCTAAAACTAAGTTAATTGTTAAAGGCAATTGGGCAACATTTGGCTAATCCCATTTTACCAAAATAAACATATCAAAACAAGCTGATGCCTTGAAATTTCAATTTACTGTGGAAAATGTTTTATAAAAATGTGCATACTTACCACTAGAGGCTGCCACATACCTCTTCTATTGAGGTAGAATTAAAAAAAAAAAAAAGCATCTGTCACATAGAAAGGTCTGTGTGTCAGCTAGAAATCCGGTTTTCCAGAGTCTCCACAGAAACGAGTAGAAAGAAATTCAGCTGAAACTTTCAGCTGGCAACATAAAACTGAGAGTGTGGTTTAGTTTTTCTATGCACTTCTGCACTTCTTCTCTGACTTTTGTTTCATGAATGCAGAATTAGAAGCATCTTACAAAGAGTAAATGTTGGGTGTAAACTTCCTACAATCTATCTTTAGTCTACCTAGCAGTCATAAAACCAGTTAAGGTCTCTTTTCTGTGTAGTATGGAAATTATATGTACCCATAGTTAAAGTCTTTGAAGCTTCCCCAATTCTGCTTTCTTGTTGCAGCTAATAATCCAAAACCAGAAATCCTGGAAAAATAAGTAGTTGGAAATTACTACATTTAAATGTAAACACTGATGTAGGCCCATAGGTACACCAATGAAATGAAATATAGAAACAAAGAGAGTAGAAAAGTTTAAATATTATGTAATCCCAGTAGTCATTAAACAATAATTAAAAAATTTGTTATGTTTTATATGCTTTAAATCTTTCATTTTTTTAATGTGAAAAAAGAATGATTTAGTTCCCTTGTGGAGGGCTTAATGATTTTTCTTGATGTTCATCTGTAAGGTCTCATAGATGAAACCAAGGGCAGAAAGAAAAATAAGTGGACCTGATTGATTACAAACCTTGATGTTAGATATTTAAATGCAACTTTTATTTTGCTTGCCTTTTTGGATGTTCATTAAAATTTGGATTGTAGTGTTAAGTATACTGTCCCAGTTAAGCAAGGTCTATTTGTTTCTTCTATTATTATTGCTATGCAGCAATAGGGAAATTGAGTTGCCTGTATTTCAAAAAGTCATTTGATATTGGTTGTTGGTGAGTCACTTGTGTACAAATATACGCAGCAAATTCTCGAGTGTATCCCATCACTTGAGAAGTAAGGAATGACAACTCAGTGGAGAAAGGGCTGCGGGAGCTGTAGGGAAGCGCCAGGTGCTCCTTCCCCTCTTTTTGTTCTTCACAGTGCCAAAGTTTGTTTGATTGAGAGGTATGTGCTAGGGGCTGGGGGGAACTGTCAAATTGAAAATCACACTTCTTGCTAGAGTCTTCGTCCACAGCTAAGATTACATGAATTGAAAGAGATTAGAAGGAATTTTTAAAAATTTGTTTTATTTGTTTGTTTACACTGGTGCATTTGACAGCATTTTGGACACCACCAGTTCCCTCAATAGAGTCAAGTTTCCCTGGCTGCTGGTGCAGGTACTTTCACACAGCAATGAGAAGGGAAAACCATTTTCTGACACAAGAAATGTGATTGCAGAAACACAGGCACTGACAGGGGCAATAAATATTCTTCATTCTTTGGAAAGCACTAGGTCCGAGAGTGCTGATTGCTCTGTGATAATCACAGAATCGATTTGGTTGGAAGAGACCTCTGGGATCATCTTTTTGGACACACACAGGCAATTACTAACATATCTGCAAATGTTCCTCATGCGTGTTTTGTTTCTCTTGAAAATGCACTGTGAGAAACAGTTCTCCACTGAATAGTGAAAGTACTATGTGGCACCTTGGGCTTTTACCTTTCTCTGCACATTTCTCTGAATCAGCAGTTCTACTGCGAATATAGTAATAAAAGCACTCTATTAAAATAATATAGATACCTTTAATGTACAGGTGGCCATTCCTCGATGAGATTGCCATTTGGCTACCTTTCTTTGCTTCCCGGAAATATGATGAAGTGTGCTTTTAATATACATGCAGGCATGCATTAGAGTGCCCATCAAAGTGCAGTGTGAGCCTGTGTTTTCAAAGGATGTTCCTGAACTCCCTCCACGACTGAGCAAACCCAGGCACTGTGAGTTACTAAATCACGTTGTTGGTAAAGGCAGGATTGTAAAGGCCAAACTGCTCATTCATTGCTTGCAGCTATATGCACTTTATTAGTTATCAACCAGCTGGATTTCTCATATGTAATCTTACAGTCATTTCCTCCTCTTTAGTAAATTTGATCACCCCCACATTCTGAAATTACTTGGTGTGTGCCTGTTAAATGAACCTCAGTACCTTATACTGGAGCTGATGGAAGGAGGGGATCTACTTAGCTACTTACGAGGAGCCAGAAAGCAAAAGGTAGGATAACGACCATGAGACTTACATTTTTAACCTGTAACTGCCCACAGTTTCTCAGTTTTGCCCTTTCTCAAAGGCCATGCTGATGTACAACTGCTTCTGTACCTGCAAGGTCTGACCTGGCTTTTCCCTAACGACCTGGGACCTCAATGTTCGAGTGCTGACCTTGCATTCAGAGTTGCTGTGAAGAAGACTGAATGTCATTAAAGCACTGACCAAAACTGTGATTTCAGTCATGAGATGTCTGCTGAGTTTCTCCCTATGAATACTGTGAACAGTCCTTTAAAAAGTGATCATAAATAATGGTGGTCATGTAATTGGTCTGTTAGGCCTCATAGGGGTTTTTTTTTGTCTTTGAATAGCAGCAGTATCCTTAATGTGCTAGGCATAGTCCAGGCATAGACGAAGATATTGTCCCTGTGCCTGTGTCCCCAAATTCTTTAGAAGGAAAGAGGAAAAAAGAATAAAGAATAAACATCTTTGAGCAAATTTTTTCCATAGTTAGCATGCAGATTAAGAATGTGGATGATAGCATTGCAGATCAAAAGGACTCAGCATTGAAATTTTATAGCATTATATCAATTGTCTAGTTCATTTACATGATCAGATCAAATCCACAGTCAGTATTGAATTCTACTGCAATGTATATACATGTATGCTACTAAAATGATATATTTTAGTGATTAATACAGCAGCAAGAAAACCTGATCTGACAGTGGGAGGAAATTTTCAGGGTCCCATTTCTTCCCCTGTAGTGAAGAAACAATTCTGAAGGTCCCAGGATATTCTTAGCCCCAAATCAAAGAACAGGATGTGTTCACCTGCCTTGCAGTGCAGTGATTTGGCAATTTACCCTGACGGTAATTAGGATTTACTCTATTGACATCCAGAGATTTTGCACCTGTGCTTTGCATGTTTTGGGAAGTTCCTGTAAATTTCAAATGAGGAAAAAACACCATGTTTGCGTAGGGAGGGTGTCATTCTGAGTTGGTAAAGCTGGAAGACAAGGCTAACCTCTGTCTTTGTTTCTTGTAGCTCCAGAGTTCCTTACTGACAGTGGCTGACCTCTTGGATATATGTTTGGATATTTGCAAAGGCTGTGTCTATTTAGAGAAAATGCATTTTATACACAGGTACAGAACTTATTTCCCTAGGCTTTTAAGGTTTACCTGCAATATCGGGATTCACTTACCTGGGAAAACATGCCTAGAAAGATGTCACAATGTAACAGAGAAGGCGAGAGCACTGGAGTAAAATTTAACATTATGCTTTTCTGCTAAAAATCACCTACAGTTCTCTCATGAAATGGTGGGCTACTGTAAAGTCTGAATCCAGGATTCATTGCACTCTTGGCAAGAATCATATCCTGTGCAACAAAGACAAGGGCAAGTGGGGAAGTCCATTTACTGTCTTCGTCTGCCTAATGGGTAGCTACAGAGGACACGGAGCCAGACTTTTTTTGGAGGTGCACAGGGAAAAGATGAGAAGCAACAGGCAGAAGTTACAGCAAGGGAAATTAGGCAATATTGTTCACAATGTGCAGGATGAATCACTGGAACAGGTTGTCCAGAGGGACTCAGTCGTCTCCAGTCTTGACGATACACAAAACTTATCTGGATGAGGCCCTAAGCCACCTGATCTGACCTCAATGGCACTACTCTGAAGAGAGGGTTGAACCAGGTGATGTCCAGAGGTCCCTTCTGACCTGAGTTATTCTGCTAATGCTCCATCTTCTTGTTTCTGCCCTATAAATCAGGGACCTGGCTGCTCGCAACTGCCTTGTGTCTGAGAAGGAATACGAGAGCTCCTCCCGGGTAGTAAAGATTGGTGATTTTGGACTTGCCAGAGATATCTATAAAAATGATTATTACAGGAAAAGAGGAGAAGGCTTACTCCCTGTCAGATGGATGGCTCCTGAAAGCCTCATTGATGGTGTCTTTACAAATCACTCTGATGTCTGGTGAGTTAATGCAGCCACACAGCTGTGGGAATAATCATACTAAATCCCACAGCAAGAAAATACTGATTTACAGGAGGAATAATAAGGTTGCATTTGACCATCTCTAATAATTTTTAAGCTAAGGCATATTTCCTTCTAAGTGATATTTTAATGAGTTAATGAAAAGTTTGGCACCACAACAGTACTTGCGTGGACGTATTTCTTAACGCTTTGAGCTCTAGCTTTGGATTCTGGCTGGAAAGAACTAGTGTCACTCAATCAAACAATTTTGTACTAGGCCCACAATGTGGTTTTTGCTTGACTGAGCAGTGAATTGGCTGCCTGCATGCTGTTCCACTTTGTTTTCCATGAGGTTAATTGGCATTTCCTTCCTGCAGCTGAATACTTTCCCCTTACTGTCTCACACTCTTCTGGTGACTTCTCTATTTTGAAGCCCAAATTTCTCAGCATCATCAGGGGAAGATCATAGTACTTTGCTGTGGAGATTTGCTTAAAGTGTGTCATTGCATGAGTTTGAGTTTATGGTGAAAAAACAGACACCCACTGTCATGAGGCATGGAAAAAAACAATCCAGTTCAGATCCATTGAACCTGAGATTCACACAAGTTTCGATTTCGGTAGCCACAGGTACTCATGGTGGGCTATAGCCCACTGATCTTGTCTGCAGCCCATCCATTTGGCTGCCACTCTTACGTTTATCTAAGCAAGTCATTTAGTGCTCTGTGCCAAATCAAATGAAGTGCTGATTGCTTTGTGAGTGGTGCTTAGGAGAACTTGTCTCTCTCCATTTCCAACCACATCTCTAGAGATTTCTAAACACTTGATTAAGTGAGGATGTGCTCAGCCAGAGAGTGTTGCCCAGGGAAGCTGTGGGCACTCAATGTCTTCTAAGCTGCTTCTCGGTGAGCCTGGGAAAGTGTGTCAGTTCTACATGTTTATTTTAGCTATTCCAGAGGCTGGCTTAAGGACGTATGAATTATTTCACAAAAAATTAAAACTTCTTACTCCTAATTTTTCTAACAGAGTCCTATTCTTAGGTTAGGGATGTTTTAACTGTTGATATGGAGATTGTTCATGATGATTATGATAATTAATTTTTTTTGTTGGTGTTTCTTAGGGCTTTTGGAGTCTTAGTGTGGGAAACATTAACTTTGGGTCAACAACCATATCCAGGTTTCTCCAATACAGAAGTTTTACACCATATACGATCAGGAGGAAGACTGGAATCTCCAAACAATTGTCCTGATGACCTGTAAGTTAATTTTGTTTAAATGTTGTTGATAATATTTATAAGAAGCAAGAAGCTTATTGCCAGGTGGCCATCATTTTGAACATTATTTATGCACACGCAGAGTTCAACATCTTCTGGTTTTTTTTTCCAATAAAACAGCTAGCACTTCTAGCTGCCAACCCACTACTAATTCATCCAGTAGTGCAGCCTGTGAATAAGAACTTAAAGTGTTGAAGCTGAATGGTGGATATTGATCTTTTAAACAGGATTTCAGAGACAATATAAAGTCAGTCTTGGGCATGTGATAACAGGCTGAGAGTGCCTGATGGTATTGGTTAAAAGTTAAGATGGCTTTAAGAAAGAATTTACCTGTCCCTGCAGACCGTATGCCTGCAATAGCAGATATAGCTGTCTTTCTCAATGGTAGCTGCAAAAATTAGGCTAAAATTAGAACATATGTGGAAAACAAACCGTGCTCTCTCCGCAGACATAACTCTGACAAAAGCCAATAAGAAAAGCTGAAGCGGTACAGCAAAAGGGAAGTCTGCACTTCTGGTTAGTCTTTAGCTGAACTCAATGAACAAAGCTTTCAATTTCCATTTGTCTCCTAGGCACAAAATTCAGGTTTAATGGCAAGATTCTTGCAATTAAAAGAATGAAATGAATACATATAGTGGATCAGACCCATACTGGCAAGAGGTGTATAAAGGAGGAAGTTGAACCTGAGCCCAACGATCACTCAGTATTGTCTAATGTCATGTCTCAATTCCTGTATCACCCAGTCTGCTCGAGCAGTCACAGTGATGCACTTGACAGCTGGTCCTACAAATGGAAGGAGAGGCTACTTAAAGTGCACAATTCTTACTCCTGGGGCTGAGGAAATGGCTTGAGAATAATTCTGTGATTGGCAAGCCCAGATCTCTGTGATAGGTCTCATATCAATTACCATGCTCTGAGTTCCAGAGAGGGTGATCATTTATCATTATGTAGATATAGCTGAAACACCATATTAGCAATAAAAAAAAGGTATGTATTAGCACTTGGAGGAACTGAAGAACTGAAGAGATTAGGATTTTGTTTTAAGAACAGCATGAAAACTGGAAGTCACAGAAGAAATGATAACCCAAAGCAATTTCAGTTTCAATATTTTCTGCTAAAAAAGGTCTCCTCAAAAAATTCCTGACAGCTGTTCTGTAGAATAAAAAAGCATAAGACCTAAGGTATAGCCATGTACTAGTATGATATTCAAGCTCACACAAAGGCTTATAAGGTCACTTTAAAACGGGTGACCAGATCTTCAGAAAAATCAAGAAAACTTTGATTGAAGCAATTTTTAAGGTCCCAAATCTCAAATTTAGCATAGCAGGTAGGGTTTGAATGCTGGTCTGCCTGTTGTAACTTGTAGGATGAGGGCCTAATAGCAGTAATGTAGTTTTTGAAAGCCAAGGGGCTGAATGAGCTTTTAGAGTCTTGTACCATCTTTTATCTCATTTGGTGAACACTCAGCACCTGCATGGAGCTTCTGTCAGTAGCGTAAACAGCTTTTTGCTACTTTGCTAGGTCATTAATGGCATGCTGGGATTCTTGACATTCCT